GAATGTGCAACTGCATATCTAGGCCTAGGGATTTGATGGTAATTACAGTATTGCTTCTATTGTTATAAACATAAGGAATAAGCACCAGTCTCAGCTGCGATCCTAGGATCATGATTGGATACATGATGAGGATACATACCCTTCCCATTTGCTGTCCAAAGTATCTCAATCACAGCTGGACCCTAGGCATACCTGTGTGACCTGGAAGCAGAACGAGTGGGCCTCCCCCATGTCCCAGGAGAGCTGAGAGAACCTTTCTCTGAGGCAGGCTGCTTAGCTGAGGCCTGGAGATGGCAGCTTGGTCTTCAGGAAAGTCCTGGGGGAGGGGTGGGGAAAAGGTGCAGCTGCTGCCAGGGGAGTGTGATATTAGGGGCACATCAGGAGTGAAGCTGTGTTTCTCTTTGTACAGAATACAGTAATTTTGAGGGCAGAAAATGAGAGGGGTCAGCTCTATCTTGTGTACCACAAGCAGCCACAAGGCAGATTTCAGTGTGGTGTAGGGCTGGTCTGAACCACTGTGCCTGTCCCTGGTGGCAAAGTAATAGACCACAGAATCATTTTTATTTAGATTTCGCACTATCTATTTCGAGCTCCTCATGATTGCATAGCAATCCATCTTCCTGGACTGACTCCTGAATCCTACATAACCCTGGCGATGTAGGTGTCACAGTACAGAAGACGCTGTGGGGCCTTCACCTCCTGGTGGAGGTACCAGTGGATGTGTCTGGCATTTTCTACAGGAAGATCACAGATGATTACAGCAGATGACCCAGTTGTCCCAGTGACTGACTTCGTTCTCCCTTCCAAGTTGGAAGATATCTGATTGGCTGCAATGAGAACAACAGAAAACATAATGAGGCATTCCTTATTATCGCGCCCATTGCAAAAGAAGAAACAAAGTAAAATATGACCCATGAGCCTCTGAGTAGGCAATACACTCACCAGGAGGCAGGAAAGCTAGAAGCAGGGCTAGGGCCCACCCCATGTCTTCCTCTCTGGGGCCTTGGAAGGAAAGGGACCAGGGAAGTGATCCCTAGCACAGTGAGGGGAGCTGATCTTCCTGATTCACAGGCAGAGGAAAGTGACTGAGGATCTGTCTTAGGGGATTCCCAAGCCTTCCTCCCAGAAGGGGTGGTGCCTGGGAGGACATGCAGAGGAGCTCCTGTCTCTCTGCTCAATCCTGTTCTCCAGCGCCCTCCTGTGGCAGCTGAGAGCAGGTCCTCTGCAGAAGAGAGCCAGGGACAAGGAGAGCTCAGGCCTGCAGCAGAGGGAGTGCAGACCTGGGGAAGCTGACTCTGGATTTAACAGGCCCAGCCCTTGGAGTAGTACAGGATGACCTGTCATGCAATATTTAGAACATACTTAAACTAAAAACTTGGTATTTATCTGAACTTCCACATTTCCGGGGTACTCGATACTTTATTTGGCAGCCCTACCCTCAGAGCTCAGACTGCTATCTGCAGGGCACCTGGTTTCTCAGATGGAGATCTAGGTAACAAAACGAGTCCAGTAAAACAATCGTGAAAATCCAGTAGTGCACACAGATTTTCACCTCCTCTGTAGCAAATATGTTTAGACACGTTTAAAATATGCAGAATAAGATGTAGAAGTGTGTCCCTCTCGGTTGTTGTGTTGGCCTAGCTCAGAGAATTCAGTTTCTGCTGTCATCCCAGCTGGAAATGAGAAAGGCACGTGGCTCCAGGTGGTGTCCATCTGCCTCTGGGCCACACGTGCAGGACATTAGGCTGCCCCAGGAGCAGCTCAAAGCTGAGTTCTCAGAGACCTTGTGGAGGAGGGAAGCTTGCCTGCCTTGGAGCCTGACAAAACCTTTCTGGACGGAAGTGTCACGGTTTAAAAATGAGAAGGGAGAGAACTGAGATCACAATAGAATGCACAGAAAATTATTAAAACAAAAGTATAATGAGGGAAATTTTATCAGAATGTGAAAAGAACTCTAAAGCTACAGTGCTGAAGAGGGGGCAGTACTGGAACTACAGTGAAAAGGTTCATAGAACACAGTGGAAAATGCAGGAAGAGAGCCATGCGTATGTAATATTTTACTGCGTGATAAAATGGTACCTTAATATCTACAAGGAAATAGTCAATTATCTAATAAGTCCTCTTTGGGGTATTGACTTCCGTGTGGAAACTAACATTCTTGAATTTCTACCTTACCAGTTACAAACAGTGATGCAGTTGTAATTTAAAAAATCATTACACTTAAAGAATGATGAATTGCATAAAATTCTAGGTGAGATTGGCCTCTCTAAGCCTGACATCAAACTAGAGACCCTAGAAAAACTGATAGCTTTTATTGTTTTATTGTCTCAAAGTTTAATTCAACAAAAGGTGCCAAATACAAATAATACCCAATGAGGAAAAATATTCTCAACACATGTGATAAAGGGTCAGTGTCTTTAAAATGGTTTGTATTAGTGCTTATGAACCAATAAGAAAATATGAATCCCCAAACGATGAATAGGCAGAGTGTGACAAGACAATTCACAGAAGAAGAACTCTAAATGACCTTTGAAGGTGTATAATAATGCTAGGACTCCTAGAGATGAGGGAATGCTAATTGAAATAACAAATCTCATTTTTGGAACCACAGAGCTTGGATTGCAATCATTATCATATTAAAGTATATGACTTAGGGAACGTCAGTTAACCCCTCAATTTCTGTATGACATTCAATGGTACTTTCATTCCTGAATGAAGTTTCTATGTACATTAAATAAAGTATGCATATCATGTGCTTAGTTAATTAGCTACCAGAATGTCAGCACCCATATTTACCACCAGTATTATTATTAATGTTTTTGAGATATTTAGTCTTTCTGTGTTGCCCAAAATGGAGTGCAGTAGTATGATCTTAGCTCACTGACAACTCCACCTTCCAGGCTCAAGAGATTCTCCTGCCTCAACATCCAAGGTGGATGGGATTACATGTGTGTGTCACTACAGCTGGCTAATTCTTTTTACTTTTAGTAGAGACAGGGTTTCACCACTTTGGCTAAACTGGTCTCAATCTCCTGGCCTCAAGAGATCCTAACGACTCGACTACCCCAATGCTGGAATTCCAGGCATGAGCCACTGGGCCTGGCCAGTATTCATATTATCAATGTAGCAATTATTGTATAAAAATCCTGATAGATCAATCATGCCATCAATAAGTAATCAATGCATAAAAACATTCAACTAGATGATAAGGACTTCTTTATGCAAACTTAGGAAGTATGTGCACCTTTAGAAGGAAAACACAAAATCCAGACACAGGAAAATAAAAGACTGTTTAAAATGTATAAAAACCCAAAATAAGAATGAAAATATAAATATGATATTGAAAAAGAAACAATACATACGGCACTATGACAAAGTGAAAAAGTTAAAGTGAATAATGAAAGTATTTTTACCCATAGGTTCAGGGAGAAAGAGGAATGAGAAATCTAGAACGGAAGCTAAAAGCTTCAAACGCGTCGTCTTTTAAAATTTGACTTCAGTTCCACGTAACCGTTTTATGTATACAAGCCAAGTATAAAACAGAACATAATATAGCAAATACCTAAAATATAAAAATGAAAACTGAACAATTACACTAGCTATATCAATGTGGGCATGAACAAATAGAGAAAAATTATTTGACTATGTGGAAGAAGTATTCTGATTATGTACCCCCCCCAAAAAAAAAACAAGAAAGGAAGGAAAGAAGGAAAAAAAGGAAGGAGAATTGATGGAATGAAGAAAGGGAACGAGGCAGGAATGAAAGGGGAAGGGAGAGAAAAATAAAGCAAGGAAGGAAGTAAGAAAGGAGAGAGAGAAAAACTCAGGGCAGAGGGAGAGAATGAGCAACTGCATATCTAGGCTAGTGATTGAGTGGGAATTACAGTATTGCTTATATTGTTATAAACATAAGGAATAACACCAGACTCAGCTGCGATCCCTGGATCATGATTGGATACATGATGAGTATAAATAACCTTCCCATTTGCTGTCCAGAGTATCTCGCTTCACAGCTGGACCCTAGGTGTACCTGTGTGTCCTAGGAAGCAGACTGAGTGGGCCTCCCCCGTGTCCTAGTAGAGCGGAGAGAACCTTGCTCTCAGGCAGGCTGCTTAGCTGAGGCCTGGAGATGGCAGCTTGGTCTCCAGGAAAGTCCTGGGGGAGGGGTGGGGAACAGGTGCAGCTGCTGCCAGGGGAGTGTGATATTAGGGGGAGATCAGGGGTGAAGCTGTGATTCTCTTGGTACAGAATACAGTAAATTCAGTGGCAGGAAATGAGAGGGGGCAGCTAAGCAGCCACAAGGCAGATTTCAGTGTGGTGTAGGCAGGTCTGAACCACTGTGCCTGTCCCAGGTGGCAAAGTAATAGACCATAGAATCATTTTCAATTCGATTTTGCACTATCAATTTCGAGCTCCTCGTTATGATTGCATAGCTATCCATCTGCCCTGGACTGATTCCTGAATCTAACATAACCCTGGCGTTGTAGGTGTCACAGTACAGAAGACGCTGTGAGACCTTCCCCTCCTGGTGGAAGTACCAGTGGATGTATCTGGTATTTTCTCCAGGAAGATCACAAGCGATTACAGCAGATGACCCTGTTGTCCCAGTGACTGACTTCATTCTGCCTTCCAAGTTAGAAGATATCTGACTGGCTTCAATGGGAACAACACAAAATATAATGAGGCATTACATGTATCACACCGCTTCCAAAGAAGAAACAAAATAAGAACCATGAGCGTCTCCGTAGGCAGCACACTCACCAGGAGGCAGGAAGCTAGAAGCAGGGCTAGGGCGCACCCCATGCCTCCCTATCTGGGGCCTTGGAAGGAAAGGGACCAGGGAAGTGATCCCTAGCACAGTGAGGGGAGCTGGTCTTCCTGAATTACAAGCAGAGGGAAGTGACTGAGGATGTGTCTTTGTGGACTCCCAAGGCTTCCTCCCAGAAGGGGTGCTGCCTGGGAGGACCTGCAGAGGAGCTCCTGCCTCTCTGCTCAGGCCCGTTCTCCAGCGCCCTCCTGTGGCAGCTGCGAGCAGGTCCACTGCAGAAGAGAGCCAGGGGCAAGGAGAGCTCAGGTGGGCAGCAGAGGGAGTGCAGACCTGGGGGAAGCCAATCCTGGAGTTAACAGGACCAGCCCTTTCAGGGGGCAGTGCACAACAGGCTAACACCCTGCACTGTAGTGTTTTGTCAGGTAAAGCTGCTGCCAAGGCCTCATTCTGCCAGGAAGCTTCTGATTAGGGCCCGGAACCACCTTCTTTTTTGAATCTGCAGGGAAAAAGGAGACAGAACCCAAGGCTACTCTGCTTTATTAACAGGACTGAGGGTGAGGTATGTTGGTGGGTCTTGGACTCTCCTCTAAATTAAATCATGTGTGGACGTGAGGTTGTGGGTAGTGGGTGTCAGGCGGGCCTGCATGGGACCTTGTGGGTGTGGTTTCTTTATTAGAGGATTTTTATGCATTGAAGTACGAATGTGAGTTTTTTGGGTTTTTTTTAAGTAGTACAGGATGACGTGTCATGCAATATTTGGAACATACTTAAACTAAAAACTTGGTATTTATCTGAACTTCCGCATTTCCGGGGCATTCGATACTTTATTTGGCAGCCCTACCCTCAGAGCTCAGACTGCTATCTGCAGGGCACCTGGTTTCTCAGATGGAGATCTAGGCAACAAAACGAGT